GCCCACGTACAGAAAAACAAACAAACAAACAAACAAAATTATACAACTATATGTTTTTAAAAGATACTATCATATCCAAAGACACAAAAAGATTGAAAATCAAAGGATGAGAAAAGATATTCCATGAAAATAATAAACAAAAGAGAGTTAGGATGGACATAAGAATGTTGGACAAAATAAACTAAGTCAAAAACTGTTATAAGAGACAAAAGAGGACATAATATATTGATCAATGAGTCAATTCATCAAGGTGTAACCACTATAAACATACATGCACCAAAAACCAGAGCCTTAAAATATATAAAGTATAGAATTGAAGGAAGAAATAGAGTTTTACAATAATAGTTGGAGAATATAGGCCACTTTAAATAATGATAGAACATCTATATAGATGGTCACTAAGGATACAAAGAGCCTGAAAAACACTATAAACCAAGTATACCTAACAGATGTATATGGAACGCTCTACCTCAAAACAGCAGAATATACATATTTCTTAAGTACACACAGAACATTCGCCATATAAGACCATATGTCAAGCAATAAAAAAGCTCATAATAAACTTTAAAAACTTAAACTAATACAAAGTATCTTTTCCAACTACAGTGGAATGGAGCTAGAACTCAGTAACAGAAGGAAAACTGAAAAATTCAAAATATATGGAAATTAAACAATACACACTTAAACAGCCAATAGATCAAAGAAGAAATCACAAGAGAATCAGAAAATATCCAGAGACAAATGAAAACAAAAACATAACATGCTAGGACTTCCGTGGTGGCACAGTGGTTAAGAATCTGCCTGCCAATGTAGGGGACACGGGTTCAAGCCCTGGTCCAGGAAGATCCCATATGCCATGGAGCAACTACGCCTGTGTACAACAACTACTGAGTCTGCGCTCTAGAGCCCACGAGCCACAACTACTGAGCCTGCATGCCACAACTACTGAAGCCCACGTGCCTACAGCACATGCTCTGCAACAAGAGAAGCCACCGCAATGAGAAGACCACACACCACAACGAAGAGTATTCCCCACTCGCCTCAACTAGAGAAAGCCTGCATGCAGTAATGAAGACCCAACGCAGCCAAAAATAAATTTTGTTTTTTTTTTTTTTTTTTTGCAGTACGCGGGCCTCTCACTGTTGTGGCCTCTCCCGCTGCGGAGCACAGGCTCCAGACGTGCAGGCTCAGTGGCCATGGCTCACGGACCCAGCCGCTCCGCGGCATGTGGGATCTTCCTGTACCAGGACACGAACCCGTGTCCCCTGTATCAGCAGGCGGACTCTCAACCACTGCACCACCAGGGAAGCCCTAAATAAATGTTTTTTAAAAAAACACATAACATGCCAAAACTTACAGGATGTAGCAAAGGCAATGCTCAGAGGGACACGTATAGCTGTAAATGCCTACACTAAAAACGATGACAGGGATTCAATACAATCTCTACCAAAATCATCTCAGCTTGCTTTTTTTTTGCAAGAAATGGAAAAGCTGATTCTAAAATTCATATAGAAATGCAAGACACACAGAATAGCCAACCTTGAAAATGGAAGAATTTGGAGGACACACAAATCCCAACTGCAAAACTTACTATAAGTCTACAATAATCAATGTAGTGTGGCATATGCATGAGGATAAATGTATAGATCAAAGGAACAGAATTGAGGTCCAGAAATAAACCCTTATATTTACAGTCAACTGATTTTCAATAAACATGGCACGATAAATTCAGTGGGGGAAGAACAGTCTTTTTTAACAAACGGAGCTGGGACAACTGAATACACGTGCAAGAGAATGAAGCTGGATTCCTATCAAACATCATATTCAAAAATTAACTCAAAATGGATAAAGACATAAAGGTAAGAAATAAAACTCTTAGAAGAAAACATAAGTGTCCAATTTCATGATCTTTGATTAGGCAATGGTTTCTCAAGATGCATATCTGAGATGCATCTGAGAATGCCCAAAAGCATGGGCAACAAAAGAAAAAGGAGATAAATTAATTATCAAAATTTTAAATTTTGTGTTCAAATACTACCATTAAGGATGTAAAAAACAACTCAGAAAACTGAAGAAAATAGTTTCAAATTATATCAATAAAAAGAGGCTTGTAACCAGAATATATGCAAAAGAAATGATTTCACATTTCTTCAAAGACATGCAAATGGCCAATAACATATAAAAAGATGACCAGAATTATTAGCTATCAGGGAAAAGCAAATCAAAACCACAATGAGATGCCATTCACATCCACAAAGATGGCTCCAATCAAAAAGATAGACAATAACAAGTGCTGACAAGGACAAAGAGAAATCAGAACCCTCAGTAACTCCTGTTTGGAATGTAAAATAGTACAGCTGCTTTTGAAAACAGTCTGACAGTTCCTCAGAAGCTTAAAAACAGAATTATCACATGAACTAGTAATCTCTCTTTGGTATGTACCTATGAGAAATAAAAATGTGTGATGTATACACAAAATATTGTACACAGATATTTGTAGCAGTATTATTCATAACACAAATATCCTTCTACTTGAGATAAATGAATAAAATGTAGGATATTTATATAATAGAATATTATTAAACTATAAAAAGAATGAAGTACTGATACATGTTACAACATGGATAAACCCTGAAAACATTATTCTAAGTGGAAGAAGTCAGTCACAAAAGATCATATACTATAATTTCATTAATGTGAAATGTTTAGAGCAGATAAATCTATATATAGAGAAAGGCCATAAGTGGTTATCTCGGGCTGCAGAGCTAAGGATAAATGAGGAGTGATTGTTAAAGGTTACAGGGCTTCTTTTGGGGATGATGAAAATGTTCTAAAAGTAATTTTGATAATAGTTGCACAACTCTGCATAAACTAAAAACTATTGGCCTGTACACTTTAAATGGATTAAACGTATGGTATGTGAATTATACACCAAAAGGAAAGAAAGAGAGTTTTCTTACTGACAATGTAATTATATAACTTAGAAAAATCTAGAAAATGTACACATTTTTTGAACTAAGACATTTGGGGAAAATTGTTGAAAAGAAGCTCAAGATAATTCAATAATATTGCTGTCTTCTAGAAGTAATTAATTAAAAATATAATTTAAAGTATTATTCAGCAAAAAAATATTTAGCATAAAACAATATTTTAATATTAATAGCTAGGAATAAATCTAATAAAAATGAACAGTACCGTTCTAAGAAACTTACAAAACCACATGCCACATTCTTAAATAGCAGGATTATAATTCTTCCAAAATTAATTCATAAATTAGATGATGTTCCAACCTGCTTTCTAACAGAATTTTTCAGTAAAACTAATGAAATGATCCTTAAATATTATTAGATAGTGAAGAGGCACATATAGGGCTCATGACTTACAAAAAGAAGAATAAAGTAGATCACCCTACAAAATAATGAGTAAAATTCTAAAACTACAATACCTAAAACCATGAAAATAACAGGTTTTCCAGAAAGTCCAGAAACAGGAAGTCCAGAAACAAACCCAAACATACCCATGGAAACTTAGAGATGTGAGAGAGACTGAATCAGAAATCAATAAACTACTGAATAAACGGTGTGGAAGACGACACCCAAAAATGAATTCTAAATAGATTAAAAATGTTAGGGTAGGGAATACTTAAGAATATAAGACTTCTAAAACAAAAACATTAGAGAAGGAAATAATAAAAATGACTATAAAAATTCACAAATTTTTGAATGTTTAATTCACCTTATTCAAGACTCACTGAACAGAAGGTATGTGTGATATATATATATTTTTAAAAGTATTGCTATCTAGAATAAAGAATGCTTACAAATTAATAAGAAAAGATAAGCACTCTAATAGAAAAAAAAGTCAGAACTGAAAATCACAGTAAATTATAGAATGGACTATTTGAATGGCAAATAAGGAAATGAAATCATCATCAAAAAATCATGCAGCTATGATTAACACAAGGAAGTACCACTTACCCTTATGACACTACCAAACTGCTTAAAGGCTGTAGGGAAGCAGAAACTGATATAAAAATAAGAAAACAAATGTGCCAGAATTCACTTCTCTCAATGGCTCAGTCATTCCCTGATTGTGCACTAACAGAATTACTGTATGTATTTCTTTAAATATCTGCAATGAATAGATTCACACACTCAGAAAGACAAATCCTTAAATAATCAGGCACACGTGCATACACTCACACACACGTAGACACACATATCCATTCTTACTATATTTTAATAGCACTATATATATATATATGTGTATACTTATGTTATATATTCTTCTTAAGCATGTATACATAGAGGAACTATCATATTTACTAGCACTAAAATTTGTCTGAGGCCTTTTCAACAAAATCTATGTTAAAAGAGAAACCTGAAATTCGGTGGGAAAAAATGAACAAAAACATTCTCAAGACCAAGAGAAAGCTACAAGAAAATATTATTTTGAAAAAAAACTGATCAAAAAGGATATAAGAATATTATAAAGATTGATTGCACCTTTTATCTTCTATAAAAGTAAAATTTTACGATGAATAAGGCCCTCTCAAGCCAAAGAAACACATATAAAACACATGTGAGTATTTTTTAACTGTTTTGTGCTTTTTTTACATAGTTTTTAAAGGACCTGGAAAATACAGTATTAAAACTATATTGCAATGAATCCTAGCTATATTTATAAATTTAATCCCTAACTGCAAAAAGCCAAAATTCATAATTCTAAATATGTTTTTTCAAAACATGTTTTATTTCAAAATGCAACAGCCTTTATTTTTTAATGATTACATTTAGATAAGTATTTGAAGTCAGTTTCCTGCTTTGCAACATCAATTTTTAAAAAGCTGTGGGTCTTAACTGAAGGAATATAAATTAATGCTAGTCCCCACTGGTGGATATGAATATATAACTTGTTATTTAAAGAAAATAACATGTAATAAACTTCCTATAAGAAGTTAGATTCAAAATAACAGCACAGATTCCATTCTCATTGCATACCTTTATTTTTGCATCAATGCTATACTTTTCTTTTCTCCAATGTGCTTCCTGCTTCCTCAGTTTCTCCAGGTCATTTAGCAGGTCAGCGCAGTGGGTACTTAATTTCTCATTTTTCTCCTTCAGATTTTTTATAACCAGTCTGTTTTGCTCTTCCTTATTCTGTACACACTCCTTAGTGTCCTGTAGAACAGTACCACAGGGGCCGATAAACAAAACAGAATGAAACAAACCAAAAAACAGGTGAGAACTAATCAGCAAATATAAACTGTACAATTTTACCCCCACAGCAGCTTCTATATTTGATGGCCAAGGTCACCTGTATACTTTTATTGGCCTCTTTTCATGCAGGTGGATGGGTCATATTTTTTCACTGGATGACAGCTTTGATGAGTACACATTTGCAAAGAGCCCATTAATTGATCAAGCTGCCTTTGATGCTGTCCCCAGCTATTTTTGAGACCCACACAGACATATCCTCCCAGACCTGGGTTTTATCAATTAATAATGCCAGTCCCATCAGAATCTAATTACAAGAAGCCACATATTCACACTCCTACTTTCTTAGCTCCATTTCCATCATTAACTATTTATCTTAAAGTTATAAAGCTTAGAGCCTTAGCTTTAAAGCATCTTTCTCAGAGTTTCTGCATATAAGAAAACTGTATGGTACAGCAGGGCCTAAGGCAATTTTTCCTCCAAGCTTGTCACTTTCTGTGCCACAAAGGCTGACAAAGCTTTAAGTAGGACTTCAAAGAAAGTACTGTAAAACTATGTACAAGTCAACACACCTTAACTTCTTGACTTTTATCTTTAAATTTCTTCTGCAAGTCACTGAATTCTTTCCTTAAGAAAGCATTTTCTTCATCTACTGCAACCTTCCGTTTTACAAGGTCATTTATTTCCTGTTTTAGTCCTGATTCTCTCTATGGAAAAAAGCAAAATTACTGATGAGCTGGTATTTCTAAGAAAAAATAATTTTATGTAAAAAGTTTTAGATTTTGACTGATAATATTAGAATTAACTACCTTTCATAATAACATCCATTATCATAATACTCATTTCCTATGACATGCCCAGAGATTTTCAAGTAAAATGTACAAATCTGGTACTGACTTACTAGTTTAAGATGAAGAACCCATTAAAAACTGGATACCAAATATTAAGCCACATACAGAAAGCAAACTTTTTGGATTTCTGTGTGTAATAGGAAAAAAATGAAATTTTACAAAACATTCTAATTAAAGAAAATGCTTATGTAACTAAAATAAGAATTATCCTCTATTTTACTATCATTTGGAAGAAAATATTTTTTAGAGAAACGAATACAGTTTTGTGAAAGCATAAGCAATTTTAAAGAATGAAAAATGGAAAGTCTGCCTTGATACAAAAAGTATCTTGCTCTGTAGAAAGAATATTCAGAATATTAAAATTGCCATAATTTTTAACTGAATATTCTTCTCACCTACCAGAGTAAATGCTATCTAATTGGAGGATGTATCCATGACTCAATTCTTAGTTTCCCTCTTCTCAAATCTTTACAGCTTTTCCCTCAGAAAATTTACCCACTCTCTTGGCTTCTGATCTCATCTCTATCTGAAAGACTACCCAATCCATAATCCAGCCCTGACTCTTTCCCAATCACCAATCCCACATTTCCAGTTTTCTCTAAAATACCTCCATCTGAATTATCTGCTGCCACCTCGAACCAACATGCTAAAACAGACATCCATGTCCTGATATTAACTCTTTACTAAACTTACTCAACTTTTGTCAACCCACTCATTTTTTCAACCAATATTTGAAACTAGTAGCTCTTAAATTTTTTTGCAGTGTTTAATTTAGAATTTCTATTTTATTTAAACATTATTAAATTCATACTTGATATATGCTTTGTTATATTTTACCTTTATTATATATAGTAAAACTACATTATTTTTTAAAATTTTTATTGGAGTATAGTTGATTTATAATGTTGTATAAGTTTCTGCTGCACAGTAAAGTGAATCAGTTATACACATACATATATCCACTCTTTTTTGTACTCTTTCTCCATATATGCCATTGTAGAGTATTAAGTACAGCTCCCTGTGCTATACAGTAGATTCTTATCAGTTATCTATTTTATATATAGTAGTGTATGTATGAAACTTTTATTTCATCTCTGTGTATACTGGGTCATGAAGTAAAATGTATTTTTTTCAGTGTGAGGATCACATTAATAAAACATTGCTTTTGATTATTTATATTAAGAGGTGGCATTACTAGTTCATAGGTTATATGCACTTCAAGAGTTCTCATAGCTCCACATGTGCACCAACATGACGCTCAAGCTTGGTAAGTTTTTACAAATGAGATATAAATGGTACCTCATATTACTTTTAATTTTTATTTCCTATTTTAATTATTAGGGCATATCAAAATGTGTTTGACATCAATCAAACAGCATAAAAACAGATGCATAACATGGCCCATCCACAATTCACAGCCTATTTTTCCTTTCTCATCTAAGTCTCAGCCTCCTTCAATATTCAATTTCTACCTCCTCAATGAAGCCTTCCCCAGCTATCACAGTAATTTCTGCTATTTCTAAATTTCTGTATTGCCTACATTATTCATTTGACACATAACAAATTACCTAGTCTTACTGATTATCTATGTACACATACTATCTCCCAAACTAGATTATAGTAAATGTTTATGAATGAGACTGACACTGAATGATAAATTCAATCATATGAACACTAAGACTGAAATACCTACAGGCCTATCCTTTCAAAGGAGAACTGACAAAAATTGAGCATCCTCACCTATTCTGGAGACTATCAGGAAGGTGCGACACTAGATCAAATGATTTAAGGTTCAGAAGGGTTTGCCCAATAATGTGAACTAAACTTAACTTGACAATATAAATGACACCAATAGCAAGCCCTTTCCTGAAAATTACTTAATATATTAAAATGTTGGCATTTGAGTGAATTTAGTAATCCACAGGACAAATATAGACTTAATTTCTAAATAAAAACACAAAATACAGTGGGAACTTAGTTAACCAAAACTATCAAATTTTGATAATTAGTTTAATAATTGGTATTATATATTATAATCATTAAAGTAATAAGTTAGACAAAGATGTACTCCCAACGGAAGAGGACTGATAAACTCTCAAAGATCTGTTAAATTTTGTATAACTCCAAACATTTTCCTGATAAAATATACCCTCAATGATCTAGTTTCTATAATGAAAGCACAGGTATATATAGTTACAATTCATTTATTTTGTTTTCTTTTTTACTGAGGTATAGTTGATTTATAATAAATTATATAAGTTTCAGGTGTATAACATGATTCACAATTTTTAAAAGTTATACTCCATTTATAGTTATTATTCAAAATGGCTATATTCCCTGTGCTGTACAATATATCCTTTTAGCTTATTTACATTATACATAGTAGTTTGTACCTCTTAATCCCCTACACCTATCTTGTCCCTTCCCCTTTTCCTCTCCCCACTGGTAACCACTAGTTTGTTCTACGTGAGTCTGTTTCTTTTTTGTTATATTCATTAGTTTGTTTTATTGTTCAGATTCCACATATAAGTGATATCAAATATTATTTGTCTTTCTCTGACTTACTTCACTAAGCATAATACCCTCTAAGTCCTAAATTTAGCTTCATGAAACCTTTTCAAACAAACTTTTCTGGATACAGTAGAGTACATTCTTAATGGTCTGCCTTGAGTTAATATTAAAATAGCAAATAGAACTCAGAGGAACCATAAAGCATAAAGAGTGACAAGAGGAAGTATGTCTGAAACAAATAATTTATTATGGATAAGCCATGAAATGAATAATTCAAATCATGGTCAAAAGAAGTCTACAGAGTAAGAAGAAAATGATCGTGAATATGAAGCATTTTCGAAAAAAAGTGGGGTGTGGCAGCAGTGGCACAGAAGACCTAAAACTGTAGGAGGCAATACTTGAGCATACTTAATATATTATTTATATGACCTACTTTCAAATGCACATAAAAATTTTAATAAAAAAACAGAAAAGTAATGAAACCACAACAACTAAAACAATGGTAAATGGAGAAAGGGGAAGGGGTGAGAAATTAAATGTAAATGAGAACCAAAACTTATCTATGAGCTTCCTAGAAGGTAAGGAAAAAGAGAAATATAATGTTTAAAAAAATCATCTAATTGAATACAATACACTCGGTTATTAGCAGAGTCATGTTATCTAATATAATACTTAAAGGAGAAATTTATTACAAGATTTACTTTATAACTAACAGCAACAAAGGTAAAGCGTAGTCTTACCAAAAGAAGATATATGGCAATTTTTACACTATTATCAATAAAATATGTTATATTATTAGATTGTTCTATGAAAGATTTCCTGCAACTAGTTAAAAAAAATGTGTGTGTGACTTTCTACTAGTTTGACTAGAAACATAGTTAAGATTTAAATAAACTAAAGGAATCATCATTCTTAACTGTTCCTCTATTCCACAGACTACAAGTTTAGAAAAGTAATGGCTATTGAACATTACTCAGTGGAAAAACAAAAACATAATGGAGGGACTTCTGGCTTCCAATCCAGGATGTAGGAACTTGGAAGTTGTCTCTCCTTTTCACACAACATGAAAAAAGCTGAGCAAACTGAAAATCAACACCTCTTCCTAGAGTCATCAGAGAACTGAGGTCATAGGGCAAATTGCTGTTCCCAAAACTAGAGAGACAGGCAGATACAGAGAATGACAATTTAGCAGAGCAAAAACCCAGAAGAAAGGAAGCTCCATGGAAACCAGTAACAGGGTAGGAAAATCAAATTTGCAATTAACAAATTACTGGAGGATCAGTGTGGACATACTTGAGAGTTAAAATGTCTGGGAGGGCCCGGTCTAGAGGAGTTCCCATAATTTCGTGAATTCTACACAGAGGAGCACAATCAGATTGTCACTGTGAAGATCAGAGAAAAGTCCCTTCCTGCTTTCTGTGGGAGGAGAGGGAACACAGACATTTAAAAATATGCCCTAGCGGGGAGGAGTCAAGATGGCAGAATAGGAGGACGCAGAATTCGTTGCTCCTCGCAAGTACATCAAGAATACATCTACAAATAGAACAATTCTCATAGAGCACCTGCTGAACATTAGCAGAAGACTTTGGAACCTAAAAGGACAAGAAAAATCCCCTCACAACTGGGTAAGATGAAAGAAAGAAAAAAAAAGAAAAGAGGAATCAAAAATGGGACTAGCACCCCTGGTGGGAAGCTGAAGGTGAGGAGAGGTCCCTGCAACTCAGAAATTCTAACTCCCTCATGGTGGGGAAATCAGCTGGGAAAGAAAAGGACCTTCGGGGGAATCAAAGGAGAACACAGCCATTGGTCAGTAGAAGGCAGGACAAAGTAAGAACTGCACACATGGTCTACACCACAGCTCTGTGCATTCCAGCCTGAGTCATGAGTCACCTATTGCAAACAAGGTCTGGGTGCTGGAAAATGGGGTTTGGAGTGAGGACCCAGGGAGGGGACAGCTGTTGGCTACAAAAAGACAGCCTGAAGGGACAGGAGTAAGGAGCTCTACAACCAGGAGAGTTTGTGGGAAAAGTTCCAGACACCATAGAAGCAAGGCGTCACTCTTGAGTGGTATGCAAAGGGTGGGGCCACCATTACAACACCTTTGCAGCCGGCTTCTGCCTCCCCAGGCACAGCAGAGGGGACAGGAATGAGGGAAGCACAGCCAGGAATGCCCCTAGAGGAAGCGTGGTCTGCCTGGAAGGTGAAGTGCCATTGCTGAGTGGTGCATGGGGGCGGGGCAAGGCAGCCACCACCCTCACACGCCAGCTCCTGCATCCACGGGTACTGGGAGGGGGACTCCCATCAGAGCCAGTGCGCCACAGTCTGTTGCAACCGCCTGCTGGTCC